TTTAAGTTCTGTGTTGATTTCCTTTTTCAAGATTTTAAAGTTTTCATCATAGAGGTCCTTCACTTCTTTAGTTAATTCCTAGGTATTTTATTTTTTGTGGGGCTATTACAAATGGAGTTTCTCTCCTAATTTCAGCCACACTTTTCTCATTGTTGGCATACAGAAAAGCCATTGATTTTGGGGGGTTAATTTTATACCCTGCTACTTTGCCAAAGTTTTGAATCAGCTTGAGTAATTTGGGAGTGGAGTCTATGGGATTCTTTAAATACAAGATCATGCCATCTGCAAAGAGGGAGAGTTTTTTTTCTTCTTTCCCTATTTGGATCCCCTTTATGTCTGCATCTTGTCTTATTGCTGTAGCTAGGCATTCTAATACTAGATTGAAGAGAAGTGGAGAGAGTGGGCATCCTTGTCTTGTTCCTGAGTTAAGAGGAAATGGCTTTAGTTTTTCACCATTGAGTATAATGCTGGCTGTATGTTGTTCCACTTTTATGTGCCTTCTTTTACCCTCCCAAATGCAAACTAACAAGATAAAAGTAAAATAAACAAAAACAGCAACAATGGCAATTAAAATGTCTCCTGTTCCCTTTTTTTAATTTGATTTCATACAATATTATTTCATCTGATCATCTGTTCATAGGTACTAAGCCTTTCTCCACCACTCTTATGCATATCCTCCTTTGGCCTTTGCATGTTAATGACTATGGTCCTATACAATTTATCATGTCACAGAATGTGTGCATATTTATTTATTTACTTATTTATTTATTTTAGTCATTCTGTGTACGTACTTGTAGATTTATAGGCACATTCTAGATGCCACAAATGAGAGCAAACATGCAGCCTACGTTTATTTGGCTATGGCTTACTTTGCTTGCTATAATTTTTTTCCAAGCCTTTCCTTTTCCTTACAAATGGTACAATATCATTTTTTTGATGGATGAATAGAATTCCATTGTGTGTGTGTGTGTGTGTGTGTGTGTGTGTGTGTGTGTGTGTGTGTGTGTTTGTGTGTGTGTGTATCACATTGTCTTGATCCATTCATCTACTGAGGTAGGTTGATTCCATATTTTGGCTATGGTAAACAATGCTGCAATGAACATGACTGTGATGGTGGCTTTAATTTGGCCTGGTTTGTTGGCCATTGGATAAATGCACAGGAGTTGAGTTGCTGGGTCATAGGAAAGTTCTATGTTTAGTCTTTTAAGGAAATTTCATACTGCTTTCCAGAGTAGTCTAAGAAGTTTATATTCCCACCAATAATGTAATAGGGTTCCTTTTTGCCCACATCCCTGACATCATTTGTTACTGTTAGTTTTCCTAATAATGGCCATTCTAACTGGAATGAGATGGAATCTCAATATTGTTTTGATTTGCACTTCTTTTATGGCCAGAGATGTTGAACATCTCTACATGTGTTGATTGGCCCTTCTTATTTCTTCCTCAGAGATGTCTCTTTAAGTCTGTACCCATTTAATAACTAATTTTTTTGTTTCTTTGATGATTTGTTTTGGGGAGCTTTAATTTTTTGAGCTCTTTCTTAAGTATATTTTAGATATGAGGCCGTTGGCTAAATTACAGATTCCCCTTCCTGTAATATTTTCACAGTATCTGGCCTGACATTGAGGTCTTCAATCCATTTAGAGTTGATTCTGGTGCAAGGTGATATATGGGTAACTAGCTTCAGTTTTCTATACTTAGACAGACAATTTTTCCAAAACCCTTTGTGGAAGAGTCTGTCTTTCTTCCAACCTTTTGTTTTGTTTGTGGGCTCATTTATGGATCTTCTGTTTCATTGGTCCTCAGACCTATTCTTGTGCCAGTATCAAGCTGTCTTTATTATTATGGCTTTGCAATAAAGCTTGAAGTTCAATATCGTTATTCCTACAGTGTTGTTCTTCCTGCTAAGGATTGTTTTTGCTATTCTGGGTCTTTGATTATTCCACATGAATTTTTACATTGATTTCTCTATTTCTTTGAAGAATGTTGGTGGGATTTTTATGGGTATTGCATTGAATTTGTATATTGCTCTGGGCAGCATTACCATTTTAATATGTTAATTCTTCCCAACCAGGAGCATGGAATGCTTTTTTTTTCCATTTCCTTAAGTCTGCTTCAATTTCTTTTTTCAGAGTTTTAAAGTTTTCACAATAGAGGTCCTTCATATCTTTGATTAAGTTAATTCCCAAGTATTTAATTTTTTGAGGCTATTACAAATGGAGTTGACTTCTTGATTTCAGCATTGCTCTTCTCATTGTTGGCATACAAAATTATGCAGTTCTTGTCCTAGCTTCTGTTAATGTGTTGAATTACATTACTTGACTTGTGTATATTGAACCAACCTTGCAAACCTGGAATGAATCCTGTTGGATTGTAATATATGGTTTTTTGTTAGCTGTTGAATTTGGTTGGCCAGAATTTTGTTGAGGAGTTTTTCATCAACATTTATCAAAGAGGTGGGTCTATAGTTTTCTTTCTTTGATGGGTCCCTATGTGGTTTTGAGCACTATGCTGACTTCATAGAATAAGTCTGGTAGTGATCTTTCCCTTTACATTTCATTAAAGAGTTTCAAAAAGTTCTTAGCCCCAAAGGACATAACATTACATATATTTAAATCATTGTGAGATCTGCTGAGTGTTTCCTACCCTTAATTTTGTGTAAATCTGCTCCCTGTATTCAAATAGTACCATAAAACAAGGCAAAGGTCATGGCAGCATTATGAGAATGATGAACCAAGCATCTATAATACAATGCTGAATACTGTGCATTCTGAAATTTTATGCTTTTCCAAAATGACACTCTGCTTGAAACCACAGACCTGCAGATGTCAAGGGTCTGCTGTAATGTGGATACACCAATAAAATAAATACATCATCACAATAGAGCATTCTACTGACCCATGCTCAGACTGTGGAGTCCACCCATATATTACTAGTTGTGATGACCTTTATTACTTAGTTACATTTCTTTTTTTTAAATTTTTATTGTAAAGGTGATGTACAGAGGGGTTACAGTTACACAAGTTAAATAATGAGTACATTATCTTCATTTTCTTCCAGTTTTTTACGTCCCAACTCCTCTCCCTTCCCAAGTTGTATAGTACATAGTGTCCATATAGTACATATAGTACATATAGTCCAACATAGGGTCTAGTGAGTATCACTGCTGATTCAGTTCATACTTTGTCCCACTACTTCTGTGCAGAATTCTATTTTATTTTGTTTTTTTACTGTTTAGAGATCTACGCCACCCATTATTTACATTAGAGAAAGATGAAACCAGGAAAAATCACACCCTGATTATTTATTTCTACTTCTGAAGAAGCATTAAAAAATGATTAGAGAGAATTCACACATACTGGCTCATTGATGAACATGAAATGGTGTTGGATGTCCATGATGTAGTACAATTTCACCCAGCCCTTATACTACTCCACATTTCACACAGCGCTCAAACAGCATTATTCTCTGTTAAACAGTATAAAAGATGGTTATAAATGGTCAGATCTTGCTCAGTGTTCAGTTTACAAAGGTAGAACGAAAGTGCAAGATACTGGTATGAAATAACTAGTAATTAGGGGTCCATAGAAAGAAATTCCAATTCCTCACTTCCTCCTGAGAATTTTCTCCTTGCCTCATTCTTTCTGAGCCATTTGCTGAGTGAGGAGAAACAGTTATAATGAAACGCCCAAAACTGAGCTCTGCTGCTTGAATGTGGAATAGTCTTAGTCCATTGAGCTTCCACAATGGAGTTCCAGTTTGTGTAAATGTGTGACACAGTGGTCAAGAAAGGAGACTTGGGTGAGCTAAGGATATTCTACTGGCTGCTGGATAGTGAGCCAAAGGGGACAGTGTTGTCTTCTCCACCGTATAATTTATAATGACTTTTCTAAAAGTAATAATGATATTCGTTATCCCAATGACTGTGCTTTGAAGGCAGGAAAGCGACATAATAAACCTCAAACATTATCAGTTAAATGGTGAGGGAAACTGAGATGACGGTATGTATTGGCTTCCTGAAACTTAGTCCATCAAAGTGTTAAAAATATCCGTACCTGGATGCCATGACTTAACAGTATGATACTGTCCTAAAATATCTGTCTCAAAGCAGAAAAAACATTGCCAAGTGATTAATTTGAGAATTCCAATATAGGACATGAGAAGGAGAACAAAAGCCTTTGAAAGCGAAATGTTATACACTCACAATAATCATCTCATGCATGTACTTTTCTATATATTTCATATAGGAATGTGTGTGGTGTTTGTGTGTGCACGGAAATGTGAATTCTAAACTGAGTTGAGTTTAAGGCTTATCATCACAGCTATTCTAAAATATTTAAGTCTGTGAATCATGAATAAGGAAGTAGATTCATTTCCCTCAACTCATGGGACTCTAAGCATAACATTACTTCCTATAATGAGGTCATCTTGGTTTTTCTGATATTATTGATTATGGTCAGTTCTCTAGGATCAATTTCTTTTTGCAGACACAGACAATATTGAGGTTTCCCTAAAATTATTCTCACAAACACAATGAGATAGCGTAGATGGGAATGGTTTTTGATGGAAAAAGAGAAAAGCCTATAAATTTGTAAAATTAAAGGACGTTTATAATGTTTGATGTAAACACACACACACACACACACACACATTTAACTGGAAGTATGAGGCCTTGAGTTCAAATCTTAATGCTACAAAAAGTGACTCAATTGTGACAAAATATCAACATACTTACTGTACATTTACTCCTTTATCAAGACACTTTATTGAACTTTATTTAACCTATTGCTGTTTTGTGTTGTTGGCTTGGCTTAGGTACCCATACATTTAACCAGAGTTCAGTAGTAAGGGGTGTGACCACAAGGTGGCAGTGAAACTCAGCAAATATCCAATATGTTCATTGTAGTGGATTCTAAATGAATAGGCCAAAGGCAAAAGCAAATCTTTTTCTTATTGGCTATGTAGACATCTCAGGAAACACTACAACTGAAAGAGAGAAAGGGAGACAACTTGGTAACAGAAGTGACATCAGATAGGAGATCTTAAGTCTTCAACTGATCCTACTTGGGAAGAAAAATGAAGAGATTGATTCATGATTTATTCCTGCTCCTGTGGCTGCAGCTGCACTGTAAGTTGAGGATTAAAGGAAACCGTATTTTAGTGGATTTCTTTAGATATCCAGGAGAAGATCAGTTTATCCAAACTGTCTATAGTTACTGTAGGAAAAGACCATTCTGAAGAGTACTGACCTAACTGTCTCCTTTCTGTCTTTCTCTCTATATAGTGCTGAGCCAAGGAGAGAAGGTGGAGCAGAGTCCTTCTGTCCTGAGTGTGCAGGAGGGAGACAGTTGTGTCATCAACTGTACTTACACAGACAGTGCCTCAGTCTACTTCCCTTGGTACAAGCAAGAACCAGGACAGGGTCCCCAGCTTATTATAGACATCCGTTCAAATCGGGACAGAATTGAAAATGGAAAACTCCAGGTCTTATTGAAGAAGAATGACAAACACCTTTCTCTGCACATCAAAGATACCCAGCCTGAGGACTCAGCTGTCTACTACTGTGCAGCAAGTACACATTGCTCCCCAGACACCTGCAGCCCGTCCTCAAACTTGCCACCATGGTTGCAGCCAGCCCTTTTCTTCACCACAGCCCTTCCAGCACAGCATTTGCTTAATGTCTGTCTATATGTAGCAGAACACGCCGGGCACTGGTGGCTCATTCCTGTAATCCTAGCTACTCAGGACCCTGAGATCTGAGGATAGCCGTTTAAAGCCTGCCGAGGCAGGAAAGTCCATGAGACTCTTATCTCCAATAAACCACTAGAAAGCCGGAAGTGGCACTGTGGCTCAAGCGGTAGTACTCACCTTGAGGTGAACAGCACAAGGACAGCACCCAAGCCCAGAGTTCAAGCCCTACAACCGACAAAAAAAAAAAGTAGCAAAACACACAGAAATTAAGGATATGTAAGACGATTAGGTTAAAGAAGACACTGGCAGTTGAGAACCTTTTGTAGGGTGAATGTTTGTGAAGAGATTACTTCTCTATTTACTCAGTATTTTTATATGAGGTTAAAAAATGGGTAGAGCTAAGTTTAGTGACGGAGCATAAGGTCTTATTTCCCAACCTCTCTGGGCATGCCAAATCCAGGCTCATCCTCAGGTTCACCAATCTTAAAGCTACACTTAATGGCTTGTTAAAAGGAACTAATGATATTATCTTTTCTTCTTTCTTTTGCAGGTACTTGGACTTGAACTCAGGGCCTGAGCACCCACTTTGAACTTTGTGCTCAAAGCTGGTGCTCTACCACTGAACCCCAGTTCAATATCCAGCTTTGTGGTAGGAAATTCGAAATAAGAGACTCATGGACTCTCTTCTTTTGGTTGACTTCAAACCATGGTCCTCAGATTTCAGCCTTTTGCATAGCTAGGATAACAAGTGTGAGCCCATAGTACCTAGCATGATAGTTTCTTGAAATCCATTTATTAGTTTCACGATTAAACTTCTCCATATGAAAAATTCTAATTTAAATATTGCCTGTCTCTTGTGCGTGGAATTGGAGTCTTTTGAACGTTTCATGTTACTTTCTCTGATGCACCATTATACAAAATCTGTTAATTAAATGAAACATCAAAATTTAAAATTGACAGTTCTGTATCCAGATTATCTGTTAGGAGAATTTGGTCAATAGATTCAAAGATGTTGATATGTACAATCAACAGTTGCACAGATCTTATGTACAATATATGGACCATAGCTAATAATATTACACTGTATTACAATTTTTCTCAAATAAGTGTTTTTTGTGTTCCTAATATTCTCAAACCATCAAAAAACTACTTAGTAAAAGGATAGACATCTGTAGTCTTCGATTTATTATTTATGTTCACCCAATAATGTAATGTTGTAATCCTTGATTCACAGTACAATTTAGTTAAAAAATATTTTTATTCATCATTCTCAATAAATCTGCATTATTTCAAGATAGTTAAATTTACTCCTTGCATACCATTTATTGTCACCTTATTTTTCTAGAGTTATATAAAGAGTTATATGTGTCATTTATCATCTACATTACTCATCGCATAGTAGTGGATTATTACTTTATCCTCAATTTTTGACTAAGCTATTTATTTTATCCCAATTTTTTGTCAGTCATGGGGCTTGAACTCTAGGCCTGAGCACCATCCCTCAGCTCTTCAGCTTAAGGCAAGCACTCTACTAATTGAGCCGTAGCACCACTTCCAGTTTTCTGGAGATAAGTGTCACATGGACTTTCATGCCTGGGCTGGTTTTGAACCACGATCCTCAGATCTCAGCCAACTTAGTAGCTAGGATTATAGGTATCACCCACCAACACCTGGCTTTATCCTAAAATTTTTAAGAACACATCCTCTAGTGTTCTTGACAATTCAATAAAAAATTATCTTGTAAATGATTGATCCTCTGTTCTTTCCATCTCTGTGTAAGGATGAATGTAATTGAAGATTCTTTTAGGGAGAACAGTTTCTGCTAGCTGAATTGTAGATGTTAGTTATCAGCTAATTGACTTGCTCTTATAGTCAGTGTCATTGAAATATACTAGTTTTCAACAAGAAAGATCAATATTGTAGCCCACCCCACCCCACCCCCCAGCTTTTCTCATTTCCCTCACTACAAAACTAGATCTTGGTCCACAGAAGCAAGTCTACCCTTGGTCAGTCTAATTCTCCCAAGATTGATTGTGAGTAGGAAAGAAACCAGAGCTTATATTTTATTGCTTTATTTCTTGGTTATAAAATAGTTGATATAAATCATTTAAATGGCGATACAGGTGGACCCATTGCAACAATGAGATACACAAGTCGTTATGTCGAAAACGAACTTTATAACTTTGGGGAGGGGGGCGTGGTGGGAGGATGAGAAAGGATGGGAAAGGGAAACAAAGGAGGAGGCTACAATGCTTGATAAGAAATGTACTCATTATCTTGCCCATGTAATTGTAACCCCTCTGTACAGTATTTTCACAATAAAAAAATAAATAAAAATAAATAATAAAAATATAGTTGATATAATTTCATTGGCTTAACTGCTGTATTTTCTTAAGATGATAAGAAAACAAACCACAGGCTGGGAAGTTAGCTCAGTGGTAGAGCGCTTGCCTTGCATGCCTGAGGCCCTGGGTTCGATTCCTCAGCACCACATAAGCAAAAAGAAAAAAGCTGGAAGTGGCACTGTGGCTCAAGTGGTAGAGTGCTAGCCTTGAGCTGAATTGCTGAAGGACAGCACTCAGGCCTAGAGTTTACGACCGGACCAAAAAGAAAAAAGAAAAAGAAAACAAACCACAATTATGTACCCAGAGTGTGCACAGTCCAAACTCAGAGTCTGGTATAGTAGAGAGTCTGTATTTCAGACTCATACACATTTAAGCTTTAGATCTTGGTCATAGTTGTCTGCTTTCTTCTTTGTCTTCTCCATCTTAAAATATGAAAATACGTTTTTTTTCTTCACAGTTCTGAAAGTGTGAGGTTGTAATTCATTTTCCAGGGCTGGAATCAAGATGTCAACAGGAGAGAATTTGATTGCTATCTCTTCTAGCTCTGATGGTTGCTGCCTTTTCTCAACCTGTGGCTGCATCATTCCTGACTCTGCCTCCTTGGTTGCACTGGAATCTCTTCTTTTCTTGTCAATCTCTCTTTAACCATATATGTGATTGCACTAAGCTCTCATAATCAATGATGCTCTTCCCATCTCAGGCCCCTTAGCTAAATTATGTCTACCTATAACTGTCAGGGATTTGGTGAAATAGAATCTGATGTGGAGAGAGAGCTCCTTTTGCCTCTCATTTTAACATGGCTTTGGTTTTTATTTCTACATTGAGAACATAATAATAAATTAGGCAGAGCTCCATCAGAGAAAAACAGAAAGCATAATTATCTTATTTTCTCAGAGTCCTAAGTTTGTTTTAAAATTAATATAAAGAACAACAAACATGTTTTGTGCATATCTGTTCATGAATATTGAATTCTAATACACTGCATAAATTCATGTACTCATTTTTGTTCTACAAAACCATGACAACTGGTTGGCACAGTTGAGGATTATACCATTTTATACATTCAGTTTGAATTGTGTTCTGTGTAATTTTAGTGGCCCCAGCTCTAGCTTAAATTTTCATCAATAGATTTTTTATAACAATTAACCGGGCTGATTTTATTGATCAAAATTCACTTTGTCTATTCTAGTTGGGACCATCTACTTCTTTGGAATTCCCAAGCAGTAGCACTGAATTATAAATGAAATAGATTTTTTACTTTGTAGCACAACAGTGGCTGTGAATTATGCCAGTGTGATCACTGACTCAAGCAAAGCCTATACCAAGGTCTATACCTAAGTAAAGACTATAAATAGAAACATGATTCTGTTATTAACATGCCAAAATAACCTTAAAAGGAGAAAACAAGGGACTACAAAGATAGTGGTTCCAGTCATGTCCACAATGCTGTTGAGAAAATGCTGTTCATGAAAATATAGGTTTGGTCCATGGATCCTGGGCCAGCTCTCATTTATTTCCTTTTGGCATTCTGGTCTTGAACTCAGGCCCTCATGCTTGTTAGGCAAGCACACTACAACCCAATCACACCTCCAGCATTTTGCACCAGTTTGTTTTTTAAATAGAATCTCATGTTTCTGCCTAGACTGACCTCAGACTAAAATCCTCCTATATTTACAATCTAAGACTGATATTACAGGTGTGAGCCATTATGCCTTGGTATGAGTATTCATTTTATATGGAGAGTCTGCCTTGGAAATTTCTGGAGATCTCTTAATTAAATGTCATTTAGGAATGAATTATGTCAAACTAACTCTCAAATACAAACGTAAATCTTTGTACTTTTCTTGGAAAACTTTTGGTGAACAGTACCTAATGAGGTCACTTGACAGGGCTCAAAGGAGACTTTCTCCAGAACAGTTTCCAGAATGCCAAGTCATTCAGTTTTATTTAACATACAATCTGATTTATGAATGCCCAAGTGGCAGTTTTCATAGGGCCTACTCATCAGAGTTTGTTTGTAACTGGTGTGGAATGTTGAGATTTTTTTTTCTAGTCAGCAGATGGAGAGAGTTAAAATATAAACAAAATTTCTAAGTGAAGCCAAAGTCTTCCATTACTGTCCAAGGATATATGCTTTCTTATGTATGCACAAATTGTTGAGAATATCTCCCTTTACTTTTGTTAATATTGCCTTATTGTTAATGTTCACAGAAAAGGGTTTCTGGGGCTGGGAAGGTGGCTCAGTTGTATAGTGATTGCCTTGCATGCATGAGGCCATGGGGTCGATTCCTCAACACCACATAAATAGAAAAAGTGGTACTGTGGCTCAAGTGGTAGAGCTCTAGCCTTGAGCTGAAGAGCTGAGGGAAAGCTCTCAGGCCGAGAGTTCAGGCCCCACAATGACAAAAAAAGAAAGAGGTTTCTGACACTGAGAGATACTATAATCAGGGGAATCAGGGCAATCAGGGCCATAGAGAATGATCCAGTAACTTGTTGTCAATCATCCAGATGCCAGTTAAAGCAAAGAGGAAAATATTCAAGAGTTCAAACCTAAAGATCAGTTTCTGGTCTCTAATGTGGCCTTTATGACCAGAGTGTGGTTAAAATGAAATACAGAATGCAAACTTGTTTATAGTACTAAGTTTCTGAGAACTTCATTGTGAAATCCTTAGCAAATACAGGTTAAAATTTTCTGATGTTTGCCCCAAAACAGGTAACTGAAAAGTCATTGGAAATGAGGAGAAATATTACTCTCTCAAAAATCAACTTTGTTCTATGTTGATGAAGTGATTGACTTTTACTGAAGGAAACAGTATCCAGAGGTGTGAGGATACCTGATTTTTACATATTTTACCTGTAGTATTTATTAATATTACAGCTCCCACTTGTCTCTATCACAAGTGTAAAGACTGAGATTATGGGTAAATCAGATAGGCCTGAGATTTAGTGGATTAGTTCATACATTATTTGCAAGGAAATAGATGGACCTAGAAAAAATTATGTTAAATGTAATAATTCAGGTTGAAAGAAACAAAGGTTGCTTGTTTTCTCCCATTTGAAGAAGTTAGATTACAATTAAAACTATATGTAGATACATATAGGATCATATCTGTATATAAACAAATTAACTAAAGGACAGCTTGTATATGCAGATTCCAATGGTGTAACTCCTTCAAGCAATTAACTTACTGTGTAACAAAATGAACACCTTTGAGGGTGTGATGTCAAAGGGAAGCAGGAAAGATAATGGTGGAATGAAAGTGGGAAAATGTAGTCATACTTGTCAATGTGCGTATATGACAATGAAACTATGTAACTTGAGGTAACAGATGGAGTTGGAAGAGATGGGAAGAATTACTAAAACGTTTATATTGATCAAGATGTGTTATACCTAGGAACTGTCAAGATGAATTTGTACAACCAGTTAAAGATAATGGGAATAAATTGTTAGAGCGCTTAATTCTAAAGGAAGTTGGATTGGTTGAGACTTTCAGCCAGTACAGAGAGGCTAGACATAATAAACAACTACCAAGAAGACTTTCTTTCCCATTCTGCTACAACAGTAAGAGCCCACAAACTTGCTTAATCTGTGAGGGTCACTAAGAACTCCAGCCCTGAAAGTAAAAGAAGACTCATGTCACATCTGTGGGAGAACACAGCATGCAGTTCTCCAGATGATGAACGTGGTCTTGGCTTCAGTGAGGTTGTGTGAGGCCTGGGCAGAGTTGTTGTGTGGCCTGCAGACAGTAGGAGAAAGGGCTGGACAGAAAAGAGAAGAGGAGGGCTGGGAAGGTGGCTCAGTGGTAGAGCGCTTGCCTTGCATGCCTGAGGCCCTGAGTTCGATTCCTCAGCACTACATAAGCAAAAAAGAAAAAAGCCGGAAGTGGCGCTGTGGCTCAAGTGGTAGAGCACTAGCCTTGAGCAGAAGAGCAGAGGGACAGTGCCCAGGCCCAGAATTCAGGCCCCTCAACCAGACTGAAAACAAAAAAGAGAGAGAGGAAGAGAGAAGGAAATCAGAACAGCTTATGTCTGTCCTATTTTCTCTTAATCAACCAAACTAATGTTGAAACAATTTGTGTACAGTCA